TTGTATAACTGGGATGGATGGTGCTGTATCTAAGCAATAACAGGGAATTAAATTCGGGAAATTATTCGGTTTACGACAACACACGACAAATAAAATTAAAGTAAATTTACTATTATTACATTATTTATTGCAGTATCAATTAATTTCCTCTTTATATAATAATGTAAATATCCTGGACGTGTGGCTTTAAAATCAGCGCGTACCTCAAATGGGCCTGCATCATCATTAAACACGCACTGTACGCTCGACCGTAACGCATGGGACCACCAAATCAACATCAGCAACAATAAAAATAATAATGATAATGACAATAATAATGAAGTTATAATTGTTCATTCGATATAATTAAAGGGACTTACGATAATGTAAATTGTTTCATTCCGGGTTCAGGTGTATAAAGGAAAGACCCAATTCCACTAGTCCAGTTTTCTTCTTCACTCCATGAAGTACAATTCAAGTCAAGTTCTTTTCCATATATTAATTTTTCCTGGCATTCCATACAGATGAGATTTCCCTCGCCTGCAATGTGAGCCACTTCATCGGTGCACAAGAACTTTGTCATGCCCTCGTAGTACCTCATCCAGTTTACTTTCCATGATATTTTAACCTACCGTAACAATGATAATAATAAATAAATAATTATATAAATAAAATATTACATCGTATAAAATATTTGGTCTGCGCCTTTTGTTAAATAGAAAGAAGTAACTATAGAATTAAGACGGCAATCAGAATTGGTCAAAATAATTAATTGGATATCTAAAAGCTTTATGCATCAAGTTGTATCTATTGACCTCGATATCGTTTATCAAGATGTTGAAATGTAACTTCAGTTTTAAAATCTCCAACCGATTTTAATAATGAGTCATTTATAAATTAATTCGAAGCCGTTTAAAACACATAATCGACGGATGGCAGCAGCAGTGCGATAACGAGTTGGTGGCAATCCGTTGCTAATTCACATAATTAATATATATTTATACTATATATAGGACATAAGCATTAATCCATATATGATTTACAGTCTTCAAAGATTTGAACCACATTGGTATTTGTTTTACACAGGTCTTAGACTGCTTACCTTTCCGCCAGCCCGGGGTTTCCAACTAAAAGAACCGCCTCTAAAATGTTTAGCTTCTACGACAGCAACGATTGCCAGTAAGGCAATTGCAAAGCGTATCATTCTTGGCTCTGGTATAAACAAAATATTAGATTTGAACAATCATGATAAAGAAATGTAACTGAACAACACATTATTATAAAACGATAAAAAATACATTGATTTATTGCACATCCAACAGTGCAAATTACACGATGAAAATATAAAATATAGAAACCTCACATAGTCAATAAAAGGCCTAAAATTGTGATAAATACATAATAAAATTATTTTCCTAAACATGTGCAATACATTTAAACTTAGATATGCTACAATGAAAAATATCTTATTCAGGATTTTCACAAACATAATTATTATAAAATGATGAAAGTCTACTAAAAATACCGTTTTTACAAACATTAACACATGAAACTTGTACATTTAATATTTGTTTAGAACGAAGTCTTAGAATAAGGAAATTAAGATAGAAATTAGAAACAATATTAAATTCATATATTAATGCTTGCCGAACACCACGTAGATAGTTCTAAAAAAAACTGTTGCTGGTTGAGATTGTTTCGACGTTTCGATTGAATTGCTTCAATCATCTTCAAGAGAATAATGCGACATTCTCAACCAAAACAGTTCCGTTCAGAGCCATCTATGTGGTGTACCGCAAGCATTAATAAAATTATATTAATAATAAAGTTTTTTAATACTTATTTAAAAATATATTAATTCCTAAAAAGATATATGATTTATTTGCTCAAAAGCTTAAAAAGAAAACACGCTCCTTCAATATTAGTTTTATAATTCGGTTTACTTACATGAAAATAATAAATCATATTTTTACTAGAGAATTGAAAGATTCGGAAAAACAAGCAACATTTACATATTACTTTTAAGATGCTTATGAAAATATGATAACATATCATTGCCTATTTATATACAGTATATCAGAACACAGTAGCCCATAATAATATATAATTTAAGTTATGCCTATATATAAATACAGTGCACCATCCGATTACAGATAACTCTAATTCCTAGAGCCCTCTAATTCGAGACCACTTTTTCAAAGAACAAAATAAAAATCGCCAATTTTTTAACACAAATCTAACATCTAAAAGTGGAGACAGAATCCCGAGACCACCCAAATTGTCAGGCCCCAGAGTGGTCTCGAATATTAGAAAACGAAAAAATAAATGAAAATACAGTATAACCATTTTACAAGGTACCGTATGATTACAATTTAAACACCCAGCCATAACAGATTAAAATGATTAGAGGTTCTGAAGAATGATTTAACCTTGCATAAATCAGGCCTACAATGGCGTACATTACACGCTAATCAATTTAAAATCGCAGATTAAAAAAAAAATCTACGCAGTTATATAAGAAAAGTATTAAAAACATTCCTGAAACCGTGTCGAACTAACGTGTACCTGTGTGACAACACACTTTATACAACAATAAAAGAAAAAAAAACTATAATAAAGCATCATTTACTACTTACCAAACTTTCACCACAAATAAAATCTATTTCAGTGTTTAGAAAGGTGGCAGAATTCAGTTGATAATGAAAAAAACTTTAGTAAATCCTTCCTTTTATAATAGAGTCACCCTCTCACATTAGGGGTTGGCTTACTTCCAAACTGGGTCAAAGTTTACTAGTCAGTGTCGAGACGAGTGATATTGCGTCGATCATGTGTAAGAATCCCTATGGGATTAAGTAAAAAGGGCAGCGGATGTATGTGAGGCTAATCCTGGCTAAGCTAGCCAATCAGCACGCCCTCTCATTGTGATAACTGGTGACGAATCACTGTTGTTATCCTTAAATTGATGCTCACGTTTTTAATTCCTTCTTGGCAGGTGAGACCAGACGTAGTAGTTTTTTTTTTTGCAGTCTTTTTTTCAGTTCACATATTGATAAAAGTTATTTTGAAGAAGTCTGGACAGTAATTTCCGCTAGGTATCGCCTATTGGTACTCACCTGGGACGGTATTATGATAACATGGGTTCTGAATTGAAAACTCATTTTGCGGGTATATGAAAAAGTAAGCGCTATCAATTTGGATTTTAATTGATACTGACATACTCATTCCAGACACGACTATGAAATTGATCTCGACAAAACTGTACAGTTGTATTTTAATTGAAAAAGTAACTGACATATAACAGGTAGGCCTACACTCACAGGGAAATAGTAATTTTCAACTATTGTTATCAATTCATTATAATAGGCATAATACCACGTAGCGGCACTGATAATGTATACTAATAATGCTGATGATTTTTTTCAATATTCATTTCATAATAATACATAATAATTTACAAAGTTAAAAATAACAAATGATCAAATTAACAGAAATCATGAGTATACTTAAAACATATGCAAAAGCTGCAGAATAAGAACAATGGCAGACATCATGAATTAGGTTACACTGTAAACGAAAGGTTTTAAGAAAAGCATCAAAATAATTTTAAAACAACTTTACAAAAAAAAAACCTATTATATGTGCAACTTTATAAATAATAAATATATCATTGTAATTTTTTAAATCTTCAATTTTTAAAATTTTCCATTTTGTCTATTATATTTAGGCTATTTTTTTGAAATACTGTACAGTTTGTTTAGCCCAAGTTAATCAACACTATTTGTAGCGAATTGTAATTAGTATTATTCAACCCAAATATTAATACTTTTTTAAAAACTTTTTATTCTTTTGTTTGCTGTCCCACCAAATAATACAATTTTTCCATTTAATTATTATACAAGTACCGTTATAGAATTTACAAATATATAGGCCTACTATTCTATTGTCTCGTTTTCTTTTTGACTGAAAGCGCATACTACATTTCTTCTAAATTAGGCCTAATTTGTATTTTTGGTTTGTAAGATTAACATTCATATTAATCTTCTTATTAATCAATCATAAATATGTTGATGATAATAAAAAATATTACAGTATGATGATGATGATGATAATAATTATATTAATAATAAGCCTATTAATAATACTAATACTAATAATAATAAGAATAATAAGAATAATAATAATAATAAAAGCCCTCAATTTCCGCTAATAATAATAATAAAAGCCCTCAATTTCCGCATGTCTGAGTCTGAACTTGTCATACCCCCTATTGGACAGCTTTGCCCTCCATCCCCTGTACCTGTATGTATCCTGAGCCAGCACTGCATAGGTCTGCACTATCAATGCCTATCTATTCATTTGTTACATTTTAAAGAAGATTGTAATTTACTTTTTGAAGGAAATAAATGTTTTTTTTTTTTTAGAATTTGAATTGAAGATAAACAATTATTTTGGATGTCTTTGCAGTTTTATAGTTTGCCTACATAATGTCATAATTATCATGATAATTTACGTTTTGAAGGAAAAACATGTAATTTTTGATGTGAATTGAATTGAATTGATAATCAATTATTTTGAATGCCTTTGCAGTTTTATAGGTGGCCTACATAATGTCATAAGTATCATGGTGCAAGTTTTCGTTTCCTAAGTTTATCAGTAAGTTCCAACGAATCAACGTTTCCAAATGCGAAGTGATTTGAATACTCTTGCGTCGTTGAAATAATCAATGCAAGGCTGTCATTCCTTTGACAATAATCTGACCCATTTAAATAAAGGTTAGTTGTTTTTATTAACAGGTCTACACGCTTAGGCTACTAATTTTGTCAACATATTTATTTACATAAATGAGCTATGTAAGTTTTAAAAACATAAGACTCGATGTATTGGATTGTAACTTGAAATTGAAAGTAGACCACATTGTGAAACATCAAAGTTCTACAGTAATTAATAATTAATAAAATATTGAATTTTGATTTGAGTTATCTAGACAGGATAGGACCAGGTGGATTTGATAAAATCGTCGCCGGCGTGATAACATACTTCAAATTTTGCTTAATTTATTCTTCATTTGAATTACCATTAATTTCAAAAATTACAACAAAGTTTTCCCAAATTAACAACGCGTAGATTCAACAACTTTAATTGTTTGACTATATATATGAATTTGATTTGTAGACAGTAGCCTATATACCGTTCGTAATTAATTGGGCATAGGTAGACCAACCATTTCATTTTTTTTTGTAAAAAAATTGTAAATAGAGAAACGATATGTGCCTCATTGATCTAGCCTGATCTTTTTATATAGCCATCGATTTTTTTTAAACAACGCTCCACAGCAACAACGTTTTTAATCTGCAACGGTCATTTATTTGACTAAGTATTCATCTATTGAAAAATCAAGTTTACTTATGTAATGTAATTGTTATTCTTTCTAAAGAAACCAGTATTTATTTACTTCCGGGACGTTTCAAATAACAATAATAACAATTACATTACATGATTTTTAAACCAGATGAAATTGTTTGATCAAGTTTACTCATGTTAAAATAATGTTAATTAAGTTTGTATATTTTGCTTTTAAAGAAAGAGAACATTTGACCTAAATTATTTGTTGCTTTTACAAGAGCCTTGGGCCTAATGAATAAATTTCCTCGAGTATCAAGAGGAAATATTAAATGTTTGAATGTTTTCCGATTGCGTTACTATGCATAGTGTCATAGACGTACCTTAAGTGACATGTTTATGGGCATTACAGAATGGGAAGAATTTGCCAGTGGTGAAGCAGTTGAAGTAGCTTGTAATTAGACCTAGTCCTAGTTTTAATTTAAATCATAATTTGTACGGTATGTAGGCCTAGGCCTATTTAAAGTTTCCATTATTTTGTTAGTAAATATCGACATTATTAACACGTCCATGGAGAGTACAACCTTTCTGGACAAAAACTGGCCAGTGTGTCTCGATAATTCATAATCTTATGCATTTTTAATATGAATTCATTTTGCTATAAATCATAGTATGCATAACGCTATAGGCATATTCTCTTTTAAATGGAATGCCAGCGACAAAGATAAAGTTATCTATAGGTTATACGTTTATTTACGAAACACGCTCATAAAACCAATCTCAATGACGATTTATATACTAATGTGTTCTGTTCTGACATGGTATTTTATTTGTTAAATTATTGGTCCGTTATGAATTCTATGTCCGCTCAATATATAATCCTATAATGTGGAATTATTGTATATAGATTAATGTAATCTAGTATTACACATCGTGTTAAACTAAACGTGACAATTCAAAGGTTATCGTCCTTCATGCCACCTATATAAAGGGGTGTCATCGTAATCCAAATGTCAAATGTATAATAACGGCATGCTCCATACAGACGACTGGTGTGTGATTAATATTTAATTCAGTGGCGGATTCAGGGGGGCCCAGCCGGCCCGGGCCCCCTCAATTGTTCAAAATTTTAAGAAAAAGGAGATATAAAGAAAATTATAATAAAATTTGAAGTCTGGAAGTGCAATTTCCGGCCATCCAGAGGTGAACTAATCACAAATTTTCTTACCTCAGCCCTAACTATGGTTGGGCTGAGGCGTCCTCCATTTATGAAAGTACACTACCCCCCCCCCCCCCCCCCCCCCCCCTGGCCCCCTCTAATTTGAATTCCTGGATCCGCCACTGTAATGTAGCGGGGTCAAATTATATGTGATAATAACATAATGTACTTATTTTATTCAGACCTTTAGGTCATAGAGCCTTAAACTCGGCTGACCGTCTCAATTCACATTAAATAATATGATTTGATAAAGATTATTTTGTCAATAATGAAATAATTTTGATAGATTGAATAACTTATTTATTCGATATAAATCGCAGTTAAACATAGTCAGTGACATTCAACATAATGGTTGTTGTTGATTATTGATATTAAATAATCTGAATTCACATTTATATATATTTTTTTATTACTTTACATTGTAAGTTTTTATTACGCTATATTGAAGAGCATCTTAGCTCAATCGGCTAAACTAGCGTTTAACTGGCGTTTAAGCTGGAAGGCTGGAATGCAAGTTACGATATCGCACCGTCTTTTGGATGAGACGTGTAAGCCGCTGGTCCGTGTACAATATAGCCCATGTGAACGTTATACGCAGTTAGGCCTACACTCTCCGGAAAAGAGCACTGTCTCCACTGCCCACTGGAAACAAGTCTTTGGACTTTGTGGATATTCCTAGGTGTGATTCACACCAACATACTCCTATCCTATCCTATCCTTATGTAAAGTAATACATGTATAAGGTCAGAAAATTGAAACCAATTATATTTCGATTTGTTTTTGTTTTCTTCCGGTATCGCAATAGGTTTAAACTAGAAAATGGTATGGATAAAAAAACTTATAATTTCTAATATTTTGTTTAGTTTAATTGATTACACACCTTGACTATTAATACACACGTGGCTGGTAAAATGAGACAGGTTTTTTTAAAAACTAAATCTAATGATTTGAAGGAAGTACGTATTCGGTCTTAGTTTGTGGTTGGTGTAATTCGTAGGCTAATCGTTATTTCCTGAAGGCAACGTGGGAATGGAAGTTGGGGAACACTCAACGTGCGTCGCCGTCTGAAAAGAATCAGGGACAATTATTGCTAAATGTCTAAATTTGCATGTTGTGCTGGTAATTTTACGCTGCTGATTGTTTGATCGATTGATTGATCAACTTATTATTGCGTGTCAATATTGATCA